TGACGTCATCATATTGCCATCTGAATTTAAAAACAAGAAAAAAATTATATTTCTTTTCTCAAAACGTTGATGACGTCATATCCTGTCTCTTATACACATCTAGATTTTCCACGCCCACAGCACGTACTGAAGCTGGAAATTACGTTTCGGTTACATGTGTTGGGTTTGTGACACTGTATTAATACTACCGTGCGCACGGACGTTAAGACGTATGTGTACACAGTCCTTAAAATGGTCAAAATTACTCTTTTCCTTTAAAATTTCTTTTAAAATGCTCAAAATTACTCTTTAAATAGAGCATGTTTTAGCATATAATACTTTTCAATCAGAACCGTGCGTGCTTTGTGAGGGTCAAAGTGCGGCGGATCACCTAACTCGTCCTCAGTGACGAGTTCAAATCTAGTTTCCCTTTTTAGTTTGTGGCATATGGTCCAGTATAAAAATTGCTGTTGGCATGTGCGAGGCACATTCCACTGCAGCATCGGGTCTCAAAAGAGCGCCGGATGAACTTAGTAGCTTCATGTTTACATCATACCACAACTGCGGCTGAAATGAACCATATCATTTGGGTAGCACTCTACTCTTCCAAAATATGCAATGGGTTTTTAAAGTGCCTGCAAGCCAGATGTACAGTATACACTGAACCGGTTTTAGTGAAGTTCTTATCCGAGAAAACCAACCAAAGACTGGGCGAGGAGCACCTCAGACCAGCGCGAACAGTAAAGCTTTAGTTAACGGCGTACCTGTCTTACCACTCAGCCACTAACTTGTGATGTATGCTAGTAAATCTCAGGATGGAAGAACTAATGGAAAAAGACAAGTTAAAACCAACAAAACAAGATGAGCCAACAAAAAACATATGATGACAGATAATGAGACCCAATTGACTAATTTACCTGGGCAGACAGTATTCTGATTTCTTCTAGAATGGAGGTTATAGGTCGACTTCTTTCACGTCCTCTTGTAAAAGGCACAATACAATAACTGCACATGTTATCACAACCTCGCATTATTGAGCTAGAAATAAACATAAAATATATCAACACAAAAGAATAGAAATAGAACCTCAAACTTATAATAATAAAACCTCTCATCACTTCCATGGTCATTTCATTCATTGTGCATTTGTTCCTTTTCAGTGTTAAATTGATAACACACCAGTAAGTATATTTTCTTTTGAAAATTCTGCTATTAACTTAATAATAATAACTTAATGTTAAGTCATGCACTTCATGTTATTACACACTGGTATTTAATCAAAAACATATGGAACTCCTAATAATAGCAGCTTTTAAATTAATAATAAAAATAGATAATTAAAATTGATTAAATTAATTAAATACCAATCCCCACAAAAGAGGAAAAAAAAATACAATATTGGATGGTTACATACACGTATGCTGTAGGTGATTTGTGGTTCAGACGTACAGGCATCACATCAGCGTACGTCTCATCTATTGATAAAATGGTATTAATAGCAGCGTTGCCTGATGTGGAAACATCCAGTAAACGTGGTAGATCCCTGTATGCATCTGGGCCCGCAATTACATCAACTAGTTTACTTTTGTCAAGTATCTTCTTTTTTAACCTCTCTGCCATACATCCTATGAATAATACAGGTCATGAAACGTTAAGTAAAATTAAAACAATTCATACTAACAATTTCAGTGATTGTGATCTCCATCAATTAAAATGATCATATTCTTATAGCTTTAAAATTAGTTCATTTGTTTGTGTGTATCAGAGTGGAAGTGAATGATGCTCGCGTACAAGGCAATCCCTGTATTAGACAACCACCTCCCCCAACCCCCACCCGAGTTTTTGATTAGATTTTTTGATGATTTTTGTATGTTGGACGTATAATAGGACCCCCCTGTTTCACCGTTGAAATTCCAACTTTTTGCTACTTTGTATGGTCTGGTCTTGATACTCAAACTGCATTTAACTGGCTAAAACGGGAGCCAATATGGAAAGCCAGTTATTTTATGTGCGCTTTTAATTGTTCATCAAAATCTTATTTCCCCGCTTGCGTTATTCATACGAACAGTTAGTAGCTTCACTTCAATAGTAAATTCGCATGTTACAGATGATCCGCACACAAGAGTCCACAATCAAATAATATTTGTATGTGTTGCGTGTATACTATTCTTGTACGCAAAGTTGGGCGTAAAGTCGTGGATGGGATTATACCTGAGGTGGGACTATGCCCAGGGAACTAGGGTAATATTTCATAGCAACAGTGACTGTGAGAGAGTTTTCTCTATTGTTGAAGAAAACAGTACAAGCATCGAGCTAGCATGAAACACAAGCTGGCAATGTGGAACAGAGATATTAAGTGTCATTCGTCTAGGCTAAATAATGACGTTATGAGATCAGCGAAACAAGCAACATATCGTGCCATTCATGGTGAAGTCTGTAGGCCTACTGATTAAAATGTAACTAAATATTTGTGTTGGTTTTGAGGTAAACAGTACATTTGAAATTAAGTAACTCTTGTTTTCTATTTAAAGCAATTGTGCAGGAATTACTCATACAGTATATAATGACCATCTTACAAATTGTTTGGGGTTGGGGCGTGGCACCAATGAATAACGTCCCTATTTTTGATATTTGAATGTTGGCAGGTATGCAATAATAAAATATTATAAACTCACCAAGTAAACCAATCTTCACCGGCATATCTTTTCTTCTCCTGGATTCTTTGAGAGATCTGAAATGTTGTAATCTGTTCCAGATCTTTGTCTCTGCATTCTCTCGTATTGCACAAGTCATCAATAAAATTACATCTGCCTACAAATATAAATTATCAAGATTAGCAGGTACAAACTTACTACTACAGTAGACTATATACAGTATATATATATATATATATATACACATCTAGATGTGTATAAGAGACAGATATATATATAAGGCTTTGCCCTGTTGTCTCTTTTTCGTCATTTAACTTTGAATGATTTTGATGTATTTGAATATAAAAACATTTTAATTACTAATGAAATCATAACTGTATAACCTCTATGAGGTTCAAATGAGCTTCAATTTCATCAAGTAATTTAACATGTATTTTATCTACTTTTCTGTTTTTTGTTATGATGAAATGAATAAAGATTGAATCATAGTCCTAGTCAGCATTAATATGTTCTCTATTTTTAGAATGTAAACATGTTCAAAACATTCTCGAAAAAAGGCTTATTATCACCAGCTGCTAGTTCTCAATGTACTTACAATTTATAGTATTGATTTAATTTATTTAGATCCATTTACGCAACTTCATTCAACATACCTAAAAATGTATGCAATCATCATTTTGTAATTTACTATTAATGCTTGGAATTGGAAAATATTAAAATGAGGGCAAAAAATCTGCATTAAAATTTGTAATGTTTGCAGTTCATACCTTTTTTACATTGTCAACTTTTGAAAAGTTGTTTTTCTTCAGTATCGACCAGACTATTTCCATATCGCTAACGTTCATTTGACATCCATAAGTCTCAAAGTAGACTACACAAAGAAATTCACATGAATATAAATTATTGTGAAATCTACTACTGTACTATTTTATAATTCATCTACAATAATATACAGTACTTCTACAATTTTAATCTAAATTCTTAAATTTTACTAAGGGTAAAGGAGAAATAAATAAATAATTTTAAATTTCCATTTAACATAATTTTCACTTGTTAAAAATAACCCTGGAAAGTAAATGTATTGTCCCATGGAATCTACCAACAAATATCATAAAAAACATTTTTTTTTTTTAATCAACTGAATTCTTCTTTTGAAGTATATAAAAATTGTTGTTGTTTGTAAACCCACAATTTTACAGTGAAAAATGATAGAAACACTTTTGTATAACATTATTATACATATATTATGTAACTAATTATGTTACTACACTCAAAATTATTTTGTATGACTTTTGTCATTTCAGGGGACAGTACAAACAGGACTGAAAAGTACAATAGAAATAGAGCTGTAAAAAAAAGTAGGCCTAAACGTATATTGAAAATTTAGAAATTAATATAATTATTAATTAATATCCTGATGATGATAAGAATAGACCCCACTAACAATAATACTATTATTGTAATACTATCGTACCACACTGAATAGTAAGGCCTGTGATGGGAAACCTCTGCGCAAAAATTTGGCCTAGAAGTCCATCTGCGCATTTTGGAAAATAAGGGCCAATGTCCACGCAGATTTTGCTGAAAATTTGGCTTTGACCAATATTTATACAATTCTGCGCACCAACTGTATTATATTCCACACAAATTTGAGCCGTTTCTGACTCGAGGTATCATCCACGCAATTAAAAACTTTACAGTGTATGGCTATCTTATAGCCTAAACTGAAGGCAAACAATATGATTATACCAATATACAAACCTTTTCTACCGTCACCAGAAGTTGTTAGCAGATACGGTATTTCATCAGGTTCCATTTCCACAGACGTTTCACGTCGATTATTATTATTAATACCAACATATTTATTAGTCTGTAATGCTTCTTGTTTTAAAAAGTCTCTTAAAGAAGGACCTTCGGGTATCTGTTTTAAATCACCCACACTGTCACTTGTAATTGGCCTGCCAGATAGGTCGTCGGGTCCTAGGCCGAAGCGTAGGCGAAGCCGATTACAACGCCTCAACCATGTGCTTCTGGAACACATGTGCATCTGATTCTGAACACCTCGATAGGTCGCCCTGGTGGCCAATAATGGCCATGAACACACCATCATGGAGATGGAGAGCACCATCATTCTGAAATTTCTAAGATGTCTACATAGAACACCAGCATGCTACAAAATATATTGCAGAAACGCCAAAAGTCACCACATTCATTGATTAACAAGTAGCAAATCTAGGCCTAAGCCAACCAAAGGCCTATCCTTCTGTCATGATAATCGAATCCTACAGGTCAAATCCAGGTGGGCTATTGCGAATATGCGTGGACATGCGTTTTATTGAGGTTTCTTGTTGGAACGCGTCGCCATAATATTTATTTATATATATATATATTTATTTATTTATTTGGAATTACACCTTCAGATCGGTTACTCACATTTAAAGTGAACGGTGCGTCCTTATAATCAAACAAATATAACAAAGAAGGAATAGAATATATAAAGCAATTAAAAAAAAAAACCTGTCCACCTACAAGAAGCACAATTTAGGCCTATCAAAGTAATTTCAGAAACAATGTGTAGTTGTACTAGTTGCTGTTGCTAAATACCACGACTTCAACTTCATGAATAATTTGGAGCCGTTCCAAAATCAGATCCCTATACGTTCGGAACAGAATGAAATATATTCTGCGGTAAGCAGTATTCATGCATTACGGTGTACAGATTAATGTTATTTTGAAGAGGATGAGGCCTACATGAGGACACATAAATGGAGAAAAGTTTATTACAACAAACAATGTAGCCCGGTAAACTTAACCCACTACTTAAGCACCGATAGGCCCATATCGTTGTTATCTTGCACACCTTTTTAAATAGGCCTTTAATTTATTTTGATTAAACCATTATTTTCAACTCTTGGTGATTGAGTGGGTTATTTTAACTCATAATTAAATAAGAATTTAATAAGCTTAATTTTCATTAATTTTAAGCATTAATATGAAATGATAATACAATGATTAACTTGATTTATTGTAATGTTTTCTTTTAATTAAATTTATAAATTACAGTAATAAGACGTATGATTTTGTTCACTGGTTTAGGTTATTGCCAGTGTCATAAGGGCACAATACAAATCAACCATCAGTTTTAATAGGATTTGCAACATGTGATCCAGGATTTCGTAGTGTTTCGTCCATTATCATCGTCATCATTATCATTGTCTTCGCCATTATCATCATCATCCTCATCATAATCATCATTCTCGTAATCATCACCATTATCTTTGTATCACTCACCATAATACTCATCAATTGTCATTGAGATCATCATTAATTTTGTATTCCTTATTTTTTATTTACTATTGTTAATGTTTAAGATTTATCTATACGTTCACATTTTCTGGATTAAAGACAAGAAAGGCGGTGAGGAAAATTCCATTAGTCTATCATCGTTATCCTTCCTCATCATCTTTAACATCGCCATCACCATCATCATCATCGTCTTCATCAAAATATTTGTCTTGGTCCTCATATTCATTATCATCATTTTAGGGACTAAGAAATGTTTTCATACCAGAAAGTTCTCGATAACAATATAATCGATAATACTGATGAACACAACTGAATCCACAAAACGTTACAACACGCCTACAACACTGTAAACAATGATCAATTCACTTATTCAAACGTGGTTTAATTTGTTCACACCGGTATTTAATTTATTATCAAGAATAAATATTTAATTTATTATTACCGATTAATTCGAATAAACGCCCGGGTCAGGAGGCGTTTATTCGAGGGGAGTTTATTGTATATAGTAATTTTATATCACTGAAACATGAATAAAACACATACCAAAAAAAATATGCTGCAAGTAGAATAATTTATTATGTACTGATTTGAAACAGAAGCATAATTATATATAGAAAATAACATTACATTCATTAGCAGTATCAAGGATATAATTCATTAGTTATACTTTTATTCCAATCTGAGGTTAGTAATTTCAAAGTAGATTTTCAACAATTCAAATATTTGAATATAATGATACAAATTGTCACATCGTTGTCGCTACCGCATGTTATTCTTAGGATTGCGTATTTTTATGTTTGCACGGCAATCACAATCAATATTGTAGACAAAATGGTAAAGAAAAATGCTGTGATGATACCAGATACGTCTTTGTTGTGGATAATTTGTCTATTATTCCTGTAATAAAATAAAACCAGAACAATGATTTAATGCGCAAAACCCGACTAAAACAATAAAAGAAAGGCCCTATTAAACAAAGCATCGAGTTATGCAGTTATTCTGAAAGTGTACAGGCACGTTTCGGAAATTTAAACTGGAGTTTTTAACTGTATGCATAAGCTCAAGTGTGGGCGGGGTGGTGAGGAGTGGGCGCTGTATTTCTGGGTTTAGGATTACTACGCAAAAGTTTTTTTCTGCGTCCGATCAGGACAATCCAAATCAGTAATAATATTTTATTATTTTCGTGTACTGTAGTAGGCCTATATCTAAGTCTCTGTATAAACTCCACGGCTCTCACAATGAAAAAACAAATACTTCTTACCAAACACTCGCAGATTGTACAGCCATTTTCATCCTTCTTGAAGCCCTTCAGACACCTCATCCTGCACATCACTTTTGAACACTCTGTTTCGATAAAATAAAAACATAAAAAGTAAAGAGGGCTCTTTTATGTGAAACTCCTCATTAAAATCCTGGCACTATTTCTTGTTTTTCAGAGTGGGTTATAAGTACCGTAGGTTAGGAAATAAGTAATGCAATGGGGCAGAATATTGAATATTATACTACGTCTCTAAGTAAAAGTAGCGGAATTCAGGAATTTGAAATAGAGAGGGCCCAGAAAGAGGATTTTCACAGATGAATGGTCTATACTACCTCAGTCCCACCATGGTCGGGGCTGAGGTAAGAAAATTTATGATTATGGCACCTGTAGATGTTCAGAAATGGCACTTTAGGCTCAAAGTTGAGTCGAATTTTCTTTTTTTCTCAATTTTTTTTATTTTTAAAAATTTATGGGTGTGGGGGTGGGGCGGGCCGGGCCGGCTGGCTCCGCCAAACCCCCTTTGAATCCGCCACTGTCTAACAATAGAGACAGGCCTTTGTAAATGACAAATTACCATATAAAGACAATAATTCTGCCTACCAGTGTAGATATATTTCGTTTAAATCTCAATCTAAAGAAGTCAAACCTATAATCAAAACTTACAACGACGTCGTCTTAAGGTACAGGACAGAAAACCTCCTTTGGATTTAATATTACTAAATAATAATGATTTAATAAAATAAACAAGGATAGATTGAAGTTGGACAGAAACTAGATTTTGGAAATGAAGAACATAAAATAGATAAATGAATAAACAATTATCATGTTTAAATGTCATAAAATCAATCTATCAATCAATATATTTTCGAAGTGAAAAATATAAGTGTTTTCGTAGGCCTATACTTACGAGGCATAACAGGCTCCATACAAGCATGTCCACAGCCATTTGAGCAACATTTCATAGAACCTGTGCAGTTATAGTCGTTTAAACACATTTCAGAACAAATTCCACCGATGTCACCTTGAGGTGCAGGAGGACAGGAACCCTCCTTTGGAACTAGGCATAATCAGGAGGGAACAATTAATAATATTAACAAGGATAAACCCATATTTAGTTTAAAACACAGCGAACGGTGAAATAAATGTATGATTAAACATTTAAAAATATTTGAATGTTATAAAACCAATTAGAAAATACCAAACATCACAAAGTTTACATACCAATTTTTATAATACTCTAGTTATAATAATAATAATAATAATAATAATAATAATAATAATAATAATAATAATATCATACTAATAATAGTGATAACAATTAATAAAAATTAATAATAATTATAATAGTAATTGGAAAAATAAATATAGTTGACTTATATACCACAAAATAGACACAATATCGAGACATTTACCTTTGCAAATACACAAATCGCAGCCATTCTCGTCCTGTTCGTGACCGTGCTCACAATAGATCATGCAAGAGACTTCTGGACATAAGGGATTCGCTGAAATCAATTATAGTAATTGTTGAATTATAAGTGATAATTATTTATAGGTTGTATTTAG